GTGGAAGCAATCTTAGTGTCTATCACTCTGGATGGGTGGATAAATAAAATGTGGTAATACATACCATGAGATATGATTCAGCCTTAAAAATGAAGGAAATTCCAATACCTGCTACAATGTGGATGAACTTATAGAACACCATGGTAAGTGAAATAAGTCAGTGATAAAAAGACAAATGCGTAGGGGTGCACTCATGAGCAGTGGCCTCCAGACAGAAAGCAGAGTGGCAGTTGTGAGGGGTTGAATGTGGGGAGGAATGGGGAGGTGTTACGGATACTGAGCTTTAGTTTTGCAAGATGAAGAGAGTCCTGGAGATTGCTTACACAATAATGTGAAACATACTGAACACTATTCAACTGTACATTTAAAAAATGGCTGATAAATTTGATGTTGTCTTATTTTACTACATTAAAAAGAAAAAGAAAGTAAAGAGCCTGGTGTCTTAATTGTATGGGCTGTCATAACACAGTACTATAGACTGGATGGCTTAAAGAACAGAAATGCATTTTCTCCCAGTCCTAGAGGCTGGAAGTCCAAGATCAGGGTATCAGCAAGGCAGGGGGCTGGTGAAGCTCTTTCTGGCTTATAGACAGCCTCCTTCTTGCTGTGTGCTCACAGAGCCCTCCCTTGGTTATGAGAGATTTCCCTCTATTTTTTCCTCTTCTGACAAGGCCATCAGTCCTATTGGATTAGGGACCTATCTTTAGGACCTCATTTAATCTTCATGACCTCCTAAAAGCCCTATCTCCAAACACAGTCAAATTAGGGTTTAAGGCTTCAACATACGAATTTTGGGGGTCTCGATCCAGTCTATGGAACCAGGTGAACAGAATGAGGGATGGTTCTATAGGCCAGTCTAGAGGATGGTGAGAGCATGACATGAGGCAGAGTCAGACAGCATGATGTGCTTAGGAAACTAAGTGAAGTTTGGTTTTGTTTTAGGAGAAAGTTACACACTGAATTCTTGGATGTCGTATTTCCTACCAGACTGTGAATCCTATTAAGAAAGAAAAGTATCTGTACTGTTAGAGCTGTAACTACAGCACGTCACTTCCCTGGAACATCTTGGCTGCTCAATACATGGCTGTCAAAAAATTCAGAGCAGCAAGAGAATAAAAAAGAAATGAGAAGAGATAACTCCTCCAGAGCCTGGATGTTATCCTGAGAAATGGGGAATTTTACTGTACAGGGTGAGGAAACACTGTGGTGACCTACATACGGCCAGGTCACAACCTCATCAGCACTGAGATGAGCCACACGCATGGAGGGTGTGCTTGAGTGGGGGAGGGAAGAGGTGGGTGGAGCAGTAAGGACGTTTTCCAACAGTTTACTTGACAGACCATGGAAGAGCAGCAGGAGGAATAAAGGAGAGGAATGCATTTAATATATTAAGTTGAACAGCATGAAATTGCTGTGATCTCTAACCTACACACACCAGAAAAGTGGCAATGATTACCGAGCAGATGGAGCAGGACTTGAGAGGCAGAGGGAGAGCAAGGAGTGCCAAGGAGGCTCCCGCTTTCGGGGCTGTGTCATCTAACACGCAGAGGTGAGGAGGATAGTTTCGGAGGGCTGTACATACTAACTTTTACTTTGAATCAGTTGAGCTGGAGATGCCCTTTAGACACCTACCGATGTTCAGTCATCAGTGTCCAGTATGGTAGCCACTAGCCACAAGCGACTGTTTAAAACTTGAATTAAAATCTAACTCCTGCCACAGCGGTCACATTTCAAATGCTGGTGGCCACCATTTGGACAGTGCAGACATGAATGATTTCCATCATCACAGCAAGTGCTGGTCAGGGTGAGCTGTGGGCCACATTTTGGAGGACTATCAAACACTCCTGTGAAAAGCAGAGGGCGTGGGATGGGTCGAGAAGACCCTACATAGGCAACAGTGCAAATCTGTCCGTAAAAACCCCCTAGAAACAGACAGAAGGAAAGGAAACCCGTGGAGACATGAAAGGGCAAGAGAAGGCAGATGCCACCGTAAAAGGAAGAGGCCAAGAAGTGCTGGCGGGGGATAAAGCCTATTTCAGAAGAAACTTGGCTGTGGCCTCCCCTGTGCGGCCTGGGCGTCACCCATCTCTGTCAACCGCAGACATTAGCACAGGAGCCCCTCCAGAGGAATGGAGCTGCAGTGACTGGTGAGGTGAGGCCCAGCAGGACCCCCAGGCTTGACCCTGACCTGGTTCCTGGGGAGTGTAGGTTACAGATGTGAGACACCAAGGCTTCACGTAGGGGGCTGAAGTGTGCTAGCACCTGCCAGAGAATTAATTAAACTGTCTACTGAACAACCTGCTGATGACAGGTACTTGAAATAGTTACGGAGAGAGACTTTAAGGACACAAATGTACAGGCCATCCTTGCCGACGTCCAGGTAGTCTAAGTAATGTTCCTGGAGCCAGCGGGATGACCAGAAAATGTTTACCTCAAATTCTACATCGGTGACCTGAACAATTATACTTACAGAAAAGCCTCGCTTTGGCAATACACCCCCTATTTCCACTGAGGAAAAAGTGGGAACAGTTTCCTGCATTTATTTTAGGGTTCTTATGGGAAGATTTGCACTACCACCTACATAAAGACCAACAAAGACATTTTTACTGACTTTGATGACTTCTGATTCCATCAGGAATGTTGTTTAAGCTTCTCATTAACACAAATCTTTAAACACTATTTGTCTGACAAAACTCTGCCATGGCTACTGGTAGGTCAGGAAAAAATTTGCAGCTGCATTTTAGAAAACCTGAGACATCAGAGGACCTGTATCTATCCATAGGAAAACTACGCTGTGCTGTTCATCTCTTTTCTAGAGCTTCTTTGAACTATTCTCATCCATTTCTATTTCTACTTTTCCATGTTGATGAACTGCCGAAATCCATTAAAACCAAAGGTGTATATAAATAACTCACCTGAGATATGTTCATTTTCTGTTGCTCTTGGGAGAGTGTAGAGAATTGAGAAGAATAAGCTGGGGATAAGGAAAAAGGAGGAGCTGTAAGAGGTCTGGTGAGCTTCTGTATTAATAGCCTAAAACAATCTCTTCACCAACTGGGGTAAGGGGCTCCTAAGGAAAATGTTCTGCTGACCCTTACAGACAGCATACTCTGGACATGTGCATCTCTGATGTGATCATGTAGATACAACCTTGCTGTTTTTCACTGGGTGATTTTATACTACTTTCCTATTTAGAAATGTATGTCCCTCTAATTAACAAAAAATTAAAGTGGAGGATAATATTAACACCATATTAATATTTACACTTTGAGTTAGAAAATAAATAGAAAACCCAGAAGATGCTTAACAACAAAACACTTAAAAATCTGTTGTAATTTGTTCCAACTTGTCAAAAGGACTTTTGTAAGACACACCAGGGACTCAGCTGTGACAGAATGGACACTGCTGTGCTCTGCTCCTTGCTCTATCCTGCGTGGCCAGGAGAACAGGCATCTCAGGCTTGGTATTTTTTTTAAGGTTTCAGGAGTGAGGAACAGAAATACCCTCTTATACTGTAATGTTGATTCTACCTAAGTTCAGGATAAAGGAAGCCTCAGGAGGGACACGGTGTTCATTATTTGTGGGGAATAGCCTGCACCCTTCAGGGTGCCTAGCAGCATTTCCGGCCCCTACACATCAGAGGCTAGTAGCACTCCTCTTCCAAGCTGTCACGGCCAAAAACATCTCCAGACAGTCCCAAGTCCTCTGGGGTGTAATATCACCTTAGTCAGGAACCATTGATACAGGGCCTTAAACAGTTCTCCAGAATGTTCTCTCCATTATTGTAGCCACTAGCCACATCCCCCTACTGAGCACTTGAAATGTGGCTAGTGCCACATATTGAAATAGCATTACAGATATACTGAGATAAACGCAGTATGTTCCTAAATTTCATGTGTTTCTAATTTCATCAGTTTCTAATGTGACTACCTGAATACTGAAAACTACATGTGGCTCGCCTTACCTTCCTATGGGCCAGCACTGCCCTAGAACAGCAGACTGTGCTTTCTGAAGACAGGACAGCCTGGCCAGCCTGGATTGAGGAGGCAGCAGCCTCGGTCTTACCCAGAGGCTCTAGAGACACGCCAGAAATCTTGGATAAATACTCTTCTTACAAAGTGAGATTCGGTTCACACTGTTTTTACAGTCGCAGTGCAGGGAATCTGGGGGCAGGTCACTCTGCTATGTGATGGCTGCAACGCTGGGGTTTGGGTGGCCAGGGCACCAGGACAGCCTGAATGTGGGGGTAAGCGTATCTGCAGCTGCACCTGGGTTCCTCGTCTTTATGGGTTGGTTTGTAATTTCACTCTCGGGCCCGTTTTCTTGTTACTTAATGATACGGTTACTCATAAATGGGGTGGCTGTGAGGGTTCAACGAAACACAACATGAAAAGAACAAAGTGTTTTCCAAGTATTACGTAAGTCAACTTTACATGTTGGCTTATTAACTACACCAGGCTAAATGCAGTGCAGGTGATGACTTACCGCTCTTTGAACAACGCCACGCAACGGTTTTTACTCATATCCTTATTTTCAGAGAACTTGACTTACGCCCAGTGAGAGAGGCAGAATTCTCCCGCTCCTTTCGGCGCCTAAGCTCCGGCTCTCGCCGGAGACGCACAGCCGCAGCACTTGAGGCAAGTTCACGGTCAGCACCATGAACGCGCATTTCCCCTCTCGCCGCCGGCAACGACTCTCGGCAGCGGCCGCGCCACGCCCGAATCCACACGGAGCATCTCCGCCCGGCACCCGCCCCACCCGCCTTTCCCTGGTCTCCGTGCGGGTCCCGCCCTGGGGCTCTCGTTGCCTTTCCGGGGCACAAGTCCACCCCTCACCGGCCGCCGGCCCACGTGAGCCCAGCTCCGCAGAGTCTCACCAGGGGCGGAAGGGCTGCGCAGGCCCGCAAGCACAGAAGCGAGCGTAGCCGACAGCGCGCACGGAGAGAAGACAGGATATCCGGTCGTGGGAGGGGCGGGGCATAACAGTCGAGACTACACTTCCAATAAGACACCGCGACACCTCTCCGTCTTGTAGGAGGGACGGAGCTGCGGCGTTCTCCAAAAATAAGGTGTAAATTGCCCTCGCGGGCAGCGCGGAGGAGGCGGCGCGTGGGAAGATGAGCAGAGGCCTGGAGTGGGCCTCAGGGCTGCAGTCTGGGAGCATGCAGAGAAGGCGTCCCGGTGTGGGGAAACGGCGTTTTGGTGAGGGTGAGGGTGAGTAATTACATAATTTAAAGAAGAGAAGAGAGGAAAACGCTTTTAATTTGGTGCGCTCAAACAAAACTCTTCTTGGTATGCATTAGCTAACTGTTCTGGCATCCCAAAAGTTCATACTAGTAGTTTTATGGCCTGACTGCCAGTTCTTATCCTGGTTGAGAGCACTAGAACATATTTTGTAACAATTGGGGAAATTTGTATATAGACATAAATATTCTGTCAAGTAATTGTTACTTTTAATTTTTTGATAACATTGGGATTATGCAGTTAATTTTTACAGATGCATAGTAAAATACTTAGCATTGTACTATTTATAATTTAAAATAGGAAAGGAAAAATATAACAAAATGTTAATTTCTAACTCTAGGGTATGGATATACTATTTTATTATTTTCTACCTTTCTATGTTTGGAGAAAAATAAAGTCTGCTGAATAGTAATCAGTGACCTGTTAGTATCAGTGCTAGAACCACTACAGTATGCCATCAGGTTGTTATACGTGAACAATATGGTTCATTATAGAGGTATTTGATGGTGTTTGCATGAGATATTTGAAGGTAAGAGATGCAGGTGAGTGGTTAGAAACTGGTTTTGAAGATCAGAGGTATGGGGTTCATGGGAAGCATTATTCAGGGGCTCTCATTTGTCCGTTACTGCATTATTAGGGGAATCGGGATTGGTAATTGTAGCCTATGATCAAGAATAACTAACAGCCTTTAAAATGAAATGACCATAAAGTGAGGGGATGGTCAGTTAGTGTGTCAGGAGGCAGTCAGTAGATTAGGACCCCATAAGGCGGGGTGAGATGTTGCTTGGCGATGCATTGCTATTTCTTGGGCGGGGGGCATGGACTCTGCAATTGTTCTTGGGTAGGTGGGTCCCCAGGTTATGCTGCTGGTCAGATGGTGCTGGCTGGACTCTACATTCAGGCAGGGTCACAGGCTGAGTTCCGTGATGAAATAGGACTTCAGGTGGGACTCTGTGGTCAGGTGGGGCTGCAGGCTGTGTGCCACTCACTGTTGAGTGAGGTCACTGGTGGACTTCCTGGTCTGGGGGGACCTGCAGCTGTATCCGACAGCTGATGGAGCTGGAGGCTGTACTTTACAGTCAGGCAAGGTCAATCAGGGCTTCCTGGTCAGAAGTGGATTGCAGGCTATGCTTTGCAGCTGGGTGGGGTCATTGGCTGGGATACCTAACTGGGCAAGGCTGTAGACTGTACTCAGCAATTGGGTAAGGCCATAGACTGGGATCCACTGCTGGGCAGGGCTTGGTGCTGGACTATCAGCCTGCCTGGGGTCACTGCTCTGGGCTCTGTGGCTAGGAGGGGCTGCAGGTATGCTCAGCAGTTGGGTGGGGCTGTTGTCTTACCCTCCTGTCTGAATTGGGGGTGAGGGGGAATAGAACAGGCTCTATAGGCAGTGTGGCTCAATGGGTGGGGACCAACACAGGTAGAACTGCTGAGCTCCCTGGGCAGATGGGGTCTCTGGGCTGACTCTGCAAATGCTCAGAGCTGCTGGCTGGGGTCTCAGCTAATGCACCTGCCAGCAGGAATGTGGCTTGCCAATACCTTGCAGGTTGCTGCAAGCTCTACCCCTTGGATCCACCTCTGACTCCCAGTGGTTCAGCCCCACAGATTCTCCCAGGGATTCTTGTGAAGTGAGACCTAAGCAGACCTCATGGGAAGTGTCTTGTAATGTTGGGGATGCTGCAAGTCCACTTTGGGTTCTCTTTCTCACTGAAGAAACCGTAGGCCTGGGGGAATATCTTGGCATGGTCTGTGACAGCCTGGGGAAGAGGTGATGTAGTCCAAGTGACGCTGCTCCTCCTGGTGTTCTAATGGGTCCTTTTCTTTCTCTGTGGGCGAGGGGGTGCTTCAGTCTCGCCCCTGGGCTCCAGGATTTTAACAAAAGTGTCATGTCTATGGACTGATGCTAGTCAGTCTCTTTGTGAGAGGGACTGAATTTGGGGACCCCCCTATCCTTTTGTCTTGATGTCATTCAAAATCACATTCTTAATAACTGGTCCCTTCCTAAATCTTATCTATTCATTCAATTATGAAACAAATCTCAGTAATATGGGAGGACCCATGACTCTCTCACAAACAGAAACCACAAATATTCTCATAGATCACATACTAGTTATTTCAAGTATTTAAAAATACTACTTTGCTCATGTCTACTTTGAAATTATGATAATATATCTGACACTAGATTTTTGGTTTCTGGTGTATTAATGAAGTTCACATTTATTGCTATGCCATGCCTTTATATTAAATACTTTTAATTACTTTCTTTTAGTACATTTGGCTTTTATTGTAATCCTATTATACTTTATGCATTTAAAAACTTTACTGAGAAGGACTGTTGTCCTCACCGAACTGCCAAAGTTGTCTACTGCAGAAAATACATTCAGAAACCAGACACAAAGATCTGCATGACATTGCAATAACCATGTTAATTTTGAGTTACGTCACTCAGGAACATTGCTCTTCACATTCCCCATTTTGATTTAAAATATAATACTTCATACAGTGGATTAGCTTTAATACAATAAGCCAATAACACACTTGAAGGAAGCAATGATAATGAGCTATTGTGATCTGTGAAATAAGAGACTAAATTTTCATGAAGAGTTGGCCTTCCCAGTGGGCTTGCAACCATTCTTGGGGTTTGTGGTTTACTATTGCAAAATAGACCTTCTACGGAAAGGAGGGGCAGCTGAAAGTCCTCATGATGGATTAGAAAAATAAAAGATGAGAGGGCTCCCATAGTTAAGTTTTACAAATAGTCTCAATTGAACTCACTAGGTAGAGTAAAATAAATATTAATTTACAGCAAGACTGCCAGATAATGGGTTAGGAAGACTAAACTCTCAGGAAACTACCCAATGCAATTACAAATCTTTTCCATGGGCTTAAAGTAAAATGCTGTAGATAAAATAAGGTATTTAAGACATAAATTATACATCAAATGCCTGACCAAACCATTTAGCTGCTCAGTAACAATATGTCTTTCCAGTGATTGAGGACACTGACTTCAGCTCTGAAAATTCCCAAGACACAAACTGGAGAATATTCAGAAAAAAGCAATAGAACCGAATTTGCTTAAAAATGGAAACAGGACAAACCAATGTTCCCCAAGTAAATTGTTAACATACTAAATTTAAACAATATGAAAAAGAGGTGGAGCTAGAGGAAAGACTATGAAGGACCAAGAATCTATCTCCAAACCTAGAGAACAAATTCTGCTGGCAGAATCTGATGTAACCATTCTGGAACTCTGGAGTCTACTGAAGGCTTGCAATTTCCAGGGGAAGGCTTGGTCTGTCAACTGCAGTTGATTTCAGTTCTTAGAATCATAGTAGTTATCTATCTCTGATACTTCCAACCCCACTGCAGGCAACCATGAATATGCTCCTGGAGCAGTCTACATGCAACTTGTGGTTTCAGGTTGGGCAATAAGCACCCTGTCCTCCAAATATTGGGACTCTGTTTTGACTGCTAATTCTGATCATAGAACTGCAGATACAGATGTGGGCAGCCATTGCCGCAAACCCCACATTCACTTGATGGAGTCCTATAGGTCCCTTGTAAGTCCCTCCTCTGGCTAAAGCAACTTCTATGAAATTTATAGGGCCAATGTCTTCCCTCTTTCATTTCTCTCTCTTTTAAAATAAATTTTGGAGTTAGACATTGAAGGAATAGGCCTTTCAAAAGAAACCACATATGTAATGCCCAAGGAGAGGAGGAGAGGAGTAGGCTCAGAAAAAGCCTGAGGAGACCTTAAGGAATATATCTCAGGCTAATCTCTGGCATATCTTACCATTTGAAAAAGAAACAAAACAAAACAGTGAACCCAGGGGAAGGGAAATAATCTGGTTTCTAGAGTTAGTGCATTATAAGACAAATATCTACTCTTTACCCCAAAAATTCAAAGGTATGCAAAGAAACAAGAAAATATTGTCCATTGAAAGGAAAAAATAAATCAAGAGAAACTGTCCCTAAAAAAGCCTAGACGGTAGACTTACTAGACAAAGATGCAAAACAACTGTCTTAAAGATGCTCTCGGTGCTAAAAGAAAACATGCATACCATCAGGAAAATGACGTATGAACGGAAGGGAACTATCAATATAAAGGGAGAAAACAAAAAGAAACCAAAAAATTTTGGAACTGAAAAGTATAATTGAAGTGAAAAATTCAATAGAGGGATTCAAAACCAAATTTGAGTAGGCAGAAGAATCAACAAATTTGAAATAGAATGGAAATTTTACAGAGTCTGAGAAATGGAAGACTTGAGAAAAATTATTAGGGCCTAAGGGACCTGTAGGGCACCATCAGGTAGACTGACATACCCATTGTGGGAGTCTGAGAAGAAAGGGGCAGAGAGATTATCTGAAGAAATAATGGCTTAAAAACTCCCCAAATTCCATGAAAGACATGAATATAAATATCCAAGCTCAAAACCCCAATCAGGATAAAACCAAAACCTTAAACCGAGGCATATTACAATCAAACTTTTGAAAGACAGACAATTCTGGAAACAGCAAGACAGAAGCAAATCATCATATACAAGGTATCCCAATAAGACTGCAGATTTTTCATCAGAAATTTTGGATGCCAGAAGGCAATGAATTGAAAATTTCAAGGTACTAAAGGAAAAAGATCTGTCAATCAACAATTCTATATCTGGCAAAAGTGTCCTTCAAAAATGAGGCAGAAATTAAAGCATTCCCAGATAAACCAAGCGTGATGGAATTCATTAACAGTTAGTTCTTTCTGCAAGAAATGCTAAAGGGAGTCCTTAAGGTTTAAATGAAAGGACGCTTGATAGTAAATCAAAGTCTTATGAAGAAATAAAGATCTCTGGTAAAGGTAAGTATATAGACAAGTATAAAATCAAATATTATAACTTTAGTTGGTAATTGTACTTTTTGTTTCTACATGACTTAAGAGACTAATGCATAAAAATCTGGTTATGAGTTTGTTTTTTGGACACACAGCGTATGAAGCTATAATTGTGACATCTGTAACTGAAAGGGGTTGGGGATGGAGCAGTACAGGAGCAGAGTTTTTGTATATTATTAAAGGCAAACAGTAATAAAGTGTTATACCTTTAGGAAAGTAAATGTAATCCTCATAGTAACCACAAAGAAAATCGCTCTTGAATATACCCAAAAGGAAATGAGATGGTAATTTAAATGATTCACTATTAAAAAAATGAACAAAACATGAAAGAAGAGGAAATGAGGGACAAAAAAGCTAAGCTATAAGGTATATAGACGACATAGCAAAATGAATAGAAGTAGAATAGAAGTCCTCAGTTACTTTAAATGTAAATAGATTAAACTTCAATCAAAAGATTCTTAGAATGGGTTTATAAAAGAAAACATAATCCAATTCTGCTATCTATATGAAACTTACTTTAGATCCAAAGGTACTAATTGGTTGATAATAAAGGATAGAAAAGATAGTCCATGCAAATGGTAATGAAAAGAGAGCAAGGGTAGCTAAGCTATCAGACAATACAGACTTTAAATTGAAAAATGTTATGAGACAAAGGACATTATATATCAATGCAGCAAGAAGATAATGATTATAAACATTTACATAACAAAACATCAATATACATAAACAAAACTGACAGAACTGAGGGTGAAACAGACATTTCTAAAATAATAGGGAGACTTCAATATCTCAGTGTGAATAATGGATATTAAAACCAGACAGAAGATAAATGAGGAAACAGAGGACTTGAACAACAAAATAAACCAACAAGACCTAACATTGATAACACTGTACCCAAGAACAAAACACACATGAGACATTCTCCAGGAGAGACCAAATGTTAGGACACAAATTAAGTCTCAATAGATTTAAAAAGATAAATATCATATAGTCTCTTCTATGCCTACACCAGGATGAAGTCATAAATCAACAGAAGGAAAATTGTAAAATTCACAAATGTGGGGTAATAAAACAACACATTCTTAAACAATGGATCAAAAAAGAATCACAAGGGAAATTATAATATACTTAAAATGAAAAGGGAAACATTATATACCAAAATCATGAGCTGCAGTTCCAAGAGGGGAGTGTATGACTAAATGATATGAAAAAATTGCAGAAATATGCCAAAGAGTCAGGCTAAGCTAGACATTTAAAAATTGTTTTTTTCCACACAAAGAGAATCATATGAAAACAAATTACCAGTGTTTGATAATTAGAAACATCACTTAAGCACTCCTTTGATAAACCTCTATTAAGATATGTGGACAGAGAAGCTGAACAGACACTTCTCCAAAGAAATTCACGTGGCCAATAGGCACATGAAAAGATGCTCCACATCACTAATCATCAGAGAAATTCAAATTAAACCTACAATGAGATATCACCTCACACCAGTTAGGATGGCCAACATCCAAAAGACAAACAACAAATGTTGGTGAGGATGTGGAGAAAGGGGAACCCTCCTACACTGCTGGTGGGAATGTAAACTAGTTCAGCCATTGTGGAAAGCAGTATGGAGGTTCCTCAAAAAATGAAAAATAGTAATACCATTTGACCCAGAAATTCCACTTCTAGGAATTTACCCTAAGAATGCAGCACTCCAGTTTGAAAAAGACAGATGCACCCCTATGTTTATTGCTGCACTGTTTACAATAGCCAAGTTATGGAAGCAACCTAAATGTCCATCAGTAGATGAATGGATAAAGATGTGGTATGTATACACAATGGAATATTATGCAGCCATAAGAAAAAAACAGATCGTACCATTCGCAACAACATGGATGGAGCTGGAGGGTATTATGCTCAGTGAAATAAGCCAGGTGGAGGACAAGTACCAAATGATTTCACTCATATGTGGAGTATAAGAACAAAGGAAAACTGAAGGAACAAAACAGCAGAATCACAACCCAAGAATGGGCTAACAGTTACCAAAGGGAAAGGAACTGGGGAGGTTGGGTGGGAAGGGAGGGATAAAGGGGAAAACGGGGCATTATGATTAGCACACATAATGTAGCGAGAGAGGACACGGGAAAGGCAGTATACACAGACAAGTAATGATTCTATAGCACTTTATTACGCTGATGGACAGTGACTGTAATCGGGTACGTGGGGGGAGTCTAGTAACCATAATGTTCAAGTTATTGTACATTAATGATATAAAAAAAAGGGTATGATATGCTCAAGCTTACAGAAGTGCACACTAACATGTGGTCTGGAACTAAAGCCACACTTGGTATCTGTACCTTCCTGGCCCTCCTTCAGGCCCAAAGGCCACTCTTGCTCCCAAAGACCACGCACTAAAGAAGGCAAGTGTGTAGAAGTGTTGCTCAGCAGCCTTAGTGGTACACCAAGCCTACCAGCAAGAACATGTCATGACCCCTAGGACCCTGAAAGTGCCTTGCATCATAGCAGCCAGCAAGAGCACACCTGCTGGCAATGCATTGGTACCTTCCCCAGACTTCTCTGTGAAATGGCAGCACCAGAAATCACAGGACCTTCTGATCCTTAACAGTCTTTACAAGTACTGGACCAGGAAGTTGCTCAAACCTTGCAGCCTGAACTCTGCTTCTAGCACAGGGCCACTGGGACTTTACAGAACCCTAAGGTTGGCCCATTTGAAGATACCAACCTCTGGGTTATCAATGCCTGGAGGGTCACCATCCTCTCAGAACCATAGAAGCTGCTGTGGGACTTCTAATAGACAAGCACTTGGCTTCTGGGCCCAAGATAAGATGTTATCCATCCTCTTATGGAGATATAGATGATGGATTTTGCTTTTTCCAAGGATGTTACTGAAACTTGATACAAATGTTAAAGTACTGAAACCCTCACATCCATTAAAAATATATGTGGATATAAAGAATTAATGCAAATAAGGATTAGCAATTACATTGATGGCAACTTAATGGTTTGTGTACTTACATACAGGAAACTCCAGACTCCATCCTTTCACTATAATCTAGTTTTCCTCTCTCTTGTGACTACTGCCTGTGTTCTTCCCTGTCTGAACAATTCTGGTATGAAAATTACCAAATAAAATACTTTTATGTCATCACTCCATCTGACTTTACCTCACCTGCCCTGAAGCATTATATGTATAGTTATGTCCACACCACTGATGATAGTTCAGTTCAGTTGTTTCCCTTAGGAATATGGAAGGACCTCTGAGAATTGAGCTCAATTTTTCTTCAAGGTTCTAGTCTGTAATTCCGGGGAGAGGAAATCCCAGGGCAAAATACCTCTAAAACCAAAATCAGTCAAAAGCAGAAATAAAGTTTAAAACCCCATTATTGCTTACAAACTGCAGTCCAGGGCCCTCTTTTGTGCTGTGGCAGAAGCAAGCAAGACCTCCCCCGGACCTCTCAGGTTCAGATAAGCCCTGGGTTGCCGAGGTTTACCCACTGATATGGAGATGAACTACTTCTCTCAACCGCCTAGGAACACCTGTTGATATGCAGATGCACTAAGGCGAGGCAAGATATTCTGGAAATATTACAATTTTACCCACATTGTCAAAATTCTCCACTGACCTAGAAGACAAATTCTTATCTCTTGCCCAAGACACAGCACCATGAACTCTATACACTGGCAGGAGACTCTCTACTACTTGAAATGGCGTATTTTCAGGTCCTGACACACCAGTCTGAAAGATTTTCTATATATAGTATCACATCATCTGCAAATACTACCAGTATCACTTTACCAATTTGGATGCCTTTCTCTTGTCTGATTGCTGTAGCTGACTTCCATTACTATGTGAATAAAAATGGTGAGAGTGGACATCTTTGTCCAGTTCCTCATTCTAGAAAAAAAGCTTTCAACTTTTTGCCATTGAGTATGATGTTAGAGGTGGGTTTGCCATATATGGCCTTGAGATATTTCCCTCTGTATCCATCTGTTCAGTTTTTCTCATGAATAGATTTTTATCAGATGCTTTTTCAGCATCTTTGAGATAATCATATGGCTTTTATCCTTCTTGTAATGTGGTGTATCACATTAATTTGTGGATATTCAGTCATCCCTGCATCCCTGGAATCAATCCCACTTGGTCATGATGCATGATGAATGATTCTTTTTATATATTTTTGAGTTCAACATACTAAGACATGTTGAGGATTTTTTAATCTATGTTCATAAGGAATATTGGTCTGTAAAACTTTTTTTTTGTAGTGTCTTTGGTTTTGGTATTAAAGTAATGCTGGCCGTACAGAATGAGTTTGGAAATACTTCCTCCTCTTGTATTTTTTGGAATACAAAGGACAGATATTAGCTCTTTTTTGTTTGGTAGCATTCATCTGTGAAACCATCAGGTTCTGGACTTTTTTTCTTGGGAATTTTTTTGTTTAACAATTCAATTTAGTTACCAGTCATTACTTTGTCAGATTTTCTGTTTCTTCCTGGGTCAGCTTTGGAAGATTGTATGTTTCTAGGAACTTACCCATTTCTTCTATGTTATTCAATTTATTGGCTTGTAATTTTCATAGAATTCTCTTATAATCCTTTGAATTTGTGTTTGTTTTAACTTCTCTTTGATTTCTCGCTTTTCTTCAATGAGTCTTGCTAAAGGTTTGTTAGCTATCTTTTCAAAGAATCAGCTCTTGGTTTCATTGTTTTTTCTATTCTCTTAGTCCCTATTTCATTTATTTCTGCTGTGATCTTTATTATGATCCTCTTTCTACTGACGTGGGGCTTTGTCCCTTTTTCTAGTTCCTTCATTTGTAAGGTGTGATTGTTTATTCGAGATTGAGCCTGTTTCTAGAGGTTGTCCTGTTTTGCTATGAACTTCCCTCTTAGAAGCACTTTTGCTGTATCCCATAGATTTTGTATCAGTTTGTTTTCATTTGTCTCCATGTATTTTTAAAGTTTCCTCTTTGATTCATCCACTGATCCACTGATTACTTAGAAGCATATTGTTTAGCCTCCACATGCTTTACTTTTTCCAGTGTCTTTTCTTGTAATTGATTACTAGTTTCATACCAGTGTGGTCAGAAAAGATGCTTGACATTTCAAACTTCTTAAAACTTATTGATACTTTCTTGTGACCTAACATGCTATGTAGGAGAACATTCCATGTGTGCTTAAGAATGTGTGCTCTGCTGGTATCTGGTGGAATGTTCTGTATGTTAAGTTCATCTAGTCCAATGTTTCAACTCCACTGTTCCTTACTGATGTCTGTCTGATCCATTAAAATAAGTAGGGTGTTTCAGTCTCCTATTATTGTATTACTGTCAATTTCTCTCTCCCTTCATGTTTTAGTGTTTGCTTTATATATTAAGGTGCACCTATGTTGGATGCATAGATATTTATAATTTTAATATCCTCTTGATGGACTGATCTGTTTATCATTATGTAATGCCCTTGTTACTTTCTTTGTTTCAAAGTTTATTTTGTCTAAGTATTGCTACTCTGTCTTTTATTCTCTTCTATTTGCATGGAATATCCTTTTCCATCCCTTCATTTTCAGCCTATATGTCTTTAGGTCTGAGTCTCTTGTAGCCAGCATATAGATGGGTCTTATTTCTTTGGCCATTCAGGCAATGTACGCCCTTTGATTGGAGTATTTCATTCATTTACATTTGATGTAATTATTAGTAGGTAGATACTTACTGCCATTTTGTTGTCTTCTGGTTGGTTTTCTGTTCCTTTCTTCAGCTCTTCCCTTCTAATGTGCTTTCTTTAATGTTATACTTGGATTCCTTTATTTTTTGTGTATTAAAGCCTTTTGGTTTGTGGCTACCATAAGGTTCACATACAGCATTCTCTCTTAAAGCCTATATTAGGTTGATGGTTGCTTAATTCAAACACATTCTATAAGTTTTATCATTCCCCCCTCATTTTGCATATGTCATAATTTACATCTTTAAACATTTCTGTATACCTTGACTAATTTTTGTGTATAATTTCACTATTTTGTCTTTTGAAGTCCATATACACTTTTGAGATTGGTCTACCTTTAGTATGGGTTTGTTTCCTGATGAAAAACATTTCCATCTAAAGAAGTCCCTTTAACATATCCTGTAAGGCTGATTTAGATGAATTCTTTTGACCTGTGTTTATCTGGAAAGCTTCTAATTTCTCCTTCAATTCTGAATGATTACCTTTGAATATACCCACTCCCTTCTGGCCTGTGAAGTTTTTTCTGAAAAATCTGCTGATAGCCTTATAGCTATCAGTGGACTTCCTTGTGTTCATCTTGTTAGGGACAGTATGTGCTGCCAGTACCCAGATGTGTTTCCTTTCCCACACTAGGGAAGTCTTCAGCTGTTATTTCTTCTAATAGACTTTCTACCCCTTTGTTTCTCTCTTCTCCTTCTGGGAACCGTATTATGTGAACACTGTTCTATCTGGAGTTGTTGCAGAGCTCTTAGCATCTTCTCATTTTTAGAAGTTTTCTGTTCCTCAGCTTGGTTACTCTCTACTACTCTGTCTTCCAGCTCACTGATCCATTCCTCTGCCTCCTCTAGCCTCCTATTCATTCCCTCTATTGTATTTTTCACTTTGGGTATTGTATTCTTCTGACTTTTTATTATTTTCTATTCTTTTGTTGAAATTCTCATTGTCAGTGTCAATTCTTTTCCCTGGTTGTGAGCATCTTTATAACCATTACTTTGAATTATCAGGTAGATTGCTTATTTCCATTTCATTTAGCACTTTTTCTTATTCTTTTCTTTGGAACATATTCCTGTGCCTCATTTTGTCTGGTTCTGTTTGTTTCTATGTATTAGATCAGTTATGTCTCCTGGTCTTGAAAGTAGTGGATTTATGTACTCACTAGATCTAGATGCTCCAGGGCTATCCCCCGTGTGGGCTGTGTGCACCCTCCTGTCATGGCTGAGGCACAAGCACTGTTGGTGGTTTCTGGGTTAGGCCAATACTCTGCCTGGCTGCCAGCAATGGCTGATGAACTATCACTGGCCTTTGCATTTTGGCTGGGGCAAGTGCGCAGGGGAATGCTGAGGCAGAGCTAGTGTAGTAGATCAGAGTTTCAGAACTGGCTCCTGCAGGCATCTAGCTAGCTGGTCTAAAGAAGAGCTGGCAGACAGCATCCAGAACCTCTTCTCTGGAGAGAGCTCCCTCAGACCCCCGCCTCTAGCACACTTCCCTAAGTTAGTAAGTCTCTTTCCAAACTGCTGCTTTTGTATTGTGTCTAAGTAATCAACAGCATGCTGGTCCTCCACAAGTGGAAGACTGGCACTCCACAGCCCTCCAGCTCTCCCAGGCATCCAGCTCTGTTAATTTTCTAAACCTAATGCTATGGGGACTTATCTTCCTGGAGCAGATCCCCAGGGCAAGATGTGCCAGTTCCTGGGTGTTTATCTCCTATGTGCTCCATTCCTGCCTTCCCCCCATGCCAGGACAGAGGAAGGGCTTGCATCCCAATTGATCATGGATCTCTTCCTTTACCCTTCTCAATGCAGTCTTTTTCACCAGGTGTAGAAGGTTTGTTTTGCCAATCCTCAGGTTATTCTCAGAGTTGCACTATATGTAATTGCATCCTCAGTATGCATCCTGTTAGAAGTTATCACAGTGACCTCCTATTCCACAATCTTCCTTTCTTCTTAACTGGGTTGGATTATTGCATTATGAACATTCTTTACATATTATGGATACAAGTCCTTTGTCAGATACATTTTTCTTCAATTTATGATTTTCCTTTTCATACTGAAATCTTGAAAAGCCGACACTTTAAGTTTTAATAAATTCAACCTCTCTGTTGCTTTAATGTTTCATGCATTTAAAAATCTGTCTCAATGTACCACTATAGTTTTTTTGGGTTTACTATCAAAATTTATACTATTAGCTCTCCTGTTTAAGTCTATGATTTATTTTGAATAAATATTTAATTATAGTGTAAACATCAAGGTGCACTGAAAAAGAGCGATATGCGTTTATTTTATTACCTTTTCTGAAAAAAGTCATCCCTTTCCCATCAAATTACCCTGGAACATTTGGCCAAAACCAACTGACAACCTTCAGTTATAGGTCAGATAAGCAGAGAACAGGAGAGCTTTGCTCCTATCTGTAAAAGAAGAAAGCAGTTGGGCAGCCTTTAAATGAACCTTTCTTGAATTCATCTGAGAATGCAGGGCACAAAGTCTGGACATTTAGGTGGCTCCAGGGAGAAACAAGAGCTCAAGAAGTTGCTTAATTGAGAAAGAGAATGCCAAACACCATATAGAATGACCTAAATGGAAAAGCTAGACAATATAGAAGATTAGACAGGTTATTTCAACAGAGGTATATAAATTATAATAAACTTTAAATGCTAGAAATAAAAACAGTAACATGAGAAATGCCTTCAAAGGGCTCATCAGTATGCTCAATACCTCTGAAGAAATAATTAGTGAAACTACAGATTATCTATTATCTATCTTTGTGTGTGTGTCTGTGTGTATATGCTTTAATGTATATACTTTTAATGTACTGGTGACCCTAAGATGATGAAAACATAGAGAAACCATTGTTTGCCTTCTTTGAAAAGAGACAATTTAGTGACAATGTCCTTCCCTATGATCACATGTCAGAAAGCAGCAGAAGAAAGGGAATGTAGTGTGGGATTCTAAATTTGCAGATGATTCCTATAAAAGTTTATTTGTTGTTATACATGGCAAAAAATGTACTGTCAGAATAGTTCTAAGCAAGGGGAACATAATACTATTATAATGAAGTTGAGTTCCAATACACATATAAAACAAGTACCTATTAAATGGCATGCACATATACAGTCATATCGAGAACTCAGAAGGTATTCATATACATTCAATGCTATTCAGTTTATGCAATTTCTTTCTTGTTCTTTTAAAGCTTATTCTAGTGGATGTCTATTAATATTGTATATTTCCTTAAATATTTTAATAATATATGAAATAATTTTAATATGGCAATTTCTGAGTAAAAGCTATTACTTACCTTTTTCAAATTGAGATTTTCCCCTTAAGACATATTCTGAGATTAAAGTTTGATGACATGTTGAAAACTTTCATACATTTACAACTCAATTATCAGATATTTAATGAGATATCATGTTTTGGTAAAGGATTTCCTACAATGAAATTCTGGATTTCTTCCTCTAATATTTACCTAACTGATGAGGAAGAGTTGTGGATAAGAACTACTGTAATTCAGGATGTTCTCCTGTATGGTTCTGACAAAGGTTGAAGTTATATGTCTACAGAAATCATATTAATAGACTTTGTTAACTGAGGGTTCGTAAGTATATATCAGAATTAACTATACCCAAAGCTATAAAAGCTCAGCAGAGAACAAGTTTATTTCTTTGCTGCAAAAACTCTTAATAGTCTATACAGAGTAAACAACTCCATTCCAGTCATGCTATGACCCTGTTTCATTACATAATGTACTTTACCATTGTCTGTGCATGAGCCCCATAGTTTTGCTAGGGTAATCTCCATTCTGATAAAAGACAGGAGAGAACACAGAGAATTTGAAGGACATATTCAGTGAGACTTGTCATTGGCCCCCAATTCCACTAGCCAAAGGTTACTAATATGACTCATTTGGATACAGAGTGGCTAATAAGTTTAGACTAGTGTGCCATGAGGGAGAAGAGGAAATGGTTATTGGTGAAAAATTAATAGTCATATGACATACTGGATTATCCCTGTGTAAGTCAAATTGAAGATTTGTAGTGAAAGGATTCCTCACATCCATTACCTCATTTTTTGTTTGTGTTGACATACTACAAGGTCTCTAGCCTCTAAGTATTTTCTGTTGTACTCAGAAAGCTGGTTTTTGATGAAACATTACCACACACATTATACTAGTTTTCTCACTTGTGGTTTCTCTGATGCATAAGTTTTGATTGCTGGCACAAATTTTTTACATTTTCATTACACTCCCAGAGCTTTTCTGCAGTGTGAGTTTTCTGAGGACTAAGTGCATGGAGTAGAGCTCATATCCACTATCTTTACAGAGTTTCTTTGCTGGGTGAGTTTTCTTATCCCCAAAGACTGCATTCTGGATAAAAGATTGCCCCTGAAAAATACATTCCAAGACTTCTCTCCTGTATAAGTTCTCTGATGCTTGAAGTTTGGAATCTTGCAGAGGAAACTTCAAGTGTTTATTATATTCATAGGGGTTTCTTCCTATATGTTCTCTTTTGTATTATGAGATTTGATTTCCAGCTCAGTTTTTCCATATTCTTTATATGTTTAATTCCCTATGGGCTTTCTGATGTTCTCTAAGGCTTGATTTCTGACTGAAAGTTTTCCCACATTTATCACATTTATAGGGTTTCTCCCCTGTGTGAGTTCTCTGATGTACCCTGAGGTTTGATTTCTGGCTGAAAGCTTCTCCGCAGTGATTACAATTATAGGGCTTCTCTCCTGTGTGAGTTCTCTGATGTTTTCTTAGAACTGACTTCTCACTGAAAGCTTTTCCACACTCATTACATTTATAGGGTTTCTCCCCAGTGTGAGTTCTTTGATGTCCTCTGAGGTTTGATTTCTGCCTGAAAGTTTTCCCACACTCATCACATTTATAGGGTTTCTCCCCAGTGTGAGTTCTGTGATGTACTCTCAGGTTTGATTTCTGGCTAAAAGCTTCCCCACAATGATTACATTTGTAGGGTTTCTCCCCTGTGTGAATTCTATCATGTCCTCTGAGTTGTGATTTCTGACCAAAAGCTTTCCCACATTGATTGCATTTATAGGGCTTCTCCCCTGTGTGAGTTCTATGATGTTTTCTTAGACCTGACTTCAGTTTAAAAGCCTTCCCACATTCATCACATTTATATGGTCTTTCTCCAGTGTGAGTTCTCTGATGATTCCTTAGGCCTGCCATGTGGCTGAAAGATTTCCCACATTCATTACATTTAAAAGGTTTCTCCCCTGTGTGAGTTCTCTGATGTACTATGAGGATTGACTTGTAGTTGAAAGATTTCCCACATTCATTACATTCAAAGGGTTTCTCCCCTGTATGAGTTCTGTGATGTACTCTTAGACCTGACTTTGCACTGAAAGCTTTCTCACATTCATCACATTTATAGGGCTTTTCTCCTATGTGAGTTCTCTGATGTTTTCTTAGACGTGACTTCTCACTGAAAGCTTTCCCACATTCATGACATTCATAGGGTTTCTCCCCTGTGTGGCTTTCCTGAGGCTGAATTAAGTGTGAATTCGTAGAGCAGGATTTTCCACATTCATTACACTCATAGCTTCTTACTGCTATGTGAGTTCTGTGATGTACATTTAAAGTTGACTGGTAACCCAATGTCTTGGTACATGTGTCATAATCAGAGGATTTGTCTCTCATGTGAGTTCTCTGATGTACTGGGAGGGCTGAATTATGGTGGAAACTATTTCCATGTTCAAAAGGTTTCACCTCTGTATGAATTTTCTGATGTTCTCTAATGTGTGATGTTTGGCTTAAAGATTTCCCTTCTGGGTCAGTTCTTTGAGTGATCCTACTCAAATTATTTCTGTTTTCAGTATACTCATATTCATTAAACTCACAGTGACTCTTCTCTGAATTACTGCCATGAGAGACTATCAGTGTTGATTTATCACATTGTTTTTCCCCAGACTTACTGAATTTATGTAATTTCACTTTTCGGTGGGTACTCTTAGATGAACTGAGGGAGGTCTCTTTAAGGAAAACTTTTCCACATTCATTATATTCAAATGCTTGCTGTAAAGTCTGAATTGTCTGATGTGGAACATCTTCCTCTTTATGACTAAAGGCTTTCACATTTTTTCTATAAATAAAAGGTTTCTCTCCACTTTTACTTCTGCTTTCCTTAATACTGAGGAGCCATTTTTCGCATACATTAAGTTCATGAGCCTTCTCTCTTGAACACTGACAGTGTGAGGCCAGTGAGCTGAGACACAAGTAAGGTCTTGTAGTGTTAAATTTAGATGGCACTGATCTGGCAGGAAAAATGTTTATAGCCAGGTTACATGGTTTTCCCAAAATTTCTTGCTCTGTAGTCAATGCTTTGTTGGTGAATAAAACTTGCCACAAATGTTTGCCTTGGTTTTCTAGGCTCTTCTCTGAGAATTGATCAGGTTGGGATTCTTCTAAAACAGGAGAAAATTAAAAATACTTTATGATAGTTAACATATTTCTTATGGAATGAGAATCATATAAACATGCCCTATTATGTATTTGACTCCTTGGTTTCTGACTCAGTTTTCAAACAATAAAGTAATTTCAAGGGTATTATTGTTAAAAAAAAAAACTCTTTGTAGTAGAAAAAGAGGAAACTAGAATATAAGTCTATTTGGCATTTTAAAGCATGATTTTCAAAACTGTTAAAGAAAATGTAAAGTAAAAGAACAACTGAGAATGAAAGATATATTTGAGTGTTGTATCTTGGGGACAGAAAAATAGAGAATGCAACAAAGCTTATGGCACTAAAGTAGATTAACAAAAACCAATAGAGAATAGCTTTTAGTGGGCTTATCTGAGCTTGTATTAGGGAAGAATATCTAGGCTAGGCTGGAGTCTAGGGTCTTAGTGAACTATAGATTACAATATAGAATAACCATTAGTCTATGTGATTCTAGTTGGAGTTCCATTCTACTTATCAACACTAAAATTAACTTGTAACAGCACCAACTTCCTCATGTTGAAAGAAATCATCTTATGTACTATAATTTAATTCTCTCATTTCCAGTGGAAGTGAGAAAACACGGGAATTAAAATAATTTTTCCACTCATACTGGAGTCATCACTCTATCCTGGTTCTGGTGACTTGTTCAGTGGTAACTATCTCTTAGTCATCAAATCTTTCCAATTTACTCACTCATTTCCCCAAAACAAGTTTTGGCCCTGACCAATCCTTAATGCTATTTACCATTTAGTTTTCAAAATATCTAGCATTTATTGACTCTAAGAGCCTTAAGGATCATGTTTCCACTGTTCCCTAGACAGTTTACAAGTACCCTTTATATTTACTCACCATAAATTTCTTGTGCATATTTAACCATTATTGCCCTGTTCCTACCCACACTTCTACCGAAATGTCAGGCCTATGCTAAAAATGTTCAAAGGCCTTGAATACACTGCCTTCAATACAAATAGATGGTTTATGTGATGTGATTCAAGGAAAGAAAGGTTTACACTAATTGCATGCTTGTTACATGTTCTAGCTACCATCCCACTTCTCTATTGTCTTCTCTAAACTTGACAGGATACCAGTCCCTATTAAATGATTTATTTATACATACTTTACACTCACATTCTTTCCCTAAGTTACCCTCCATTCTAGCCTTAGAACTATTTAGAATCTAGATGCCCTTCAGGCAGGGTAAAGCTATTTTCCTCAGATTTAACAATAACAGCAACAACAGAAAGGTTTCTAACATCTTTTCACAAATTTAAGCAACATTTATTTTAAAATGTGAAAGAAGTTTCTGCTTGTATCATTCATTTTAACAAGGACAGAGACCACTCATTTGTGACTGATGATTTTTAAGGTAAACTTAAAATTCAGGAGGCATCTTAAAATTGATGTCCATACTTAAATTAAGTCCATACTTAAGAGGGCAGCATCTTTTCTTTTTTGTACCCAAAATAATGGTTCACTTTTCAATCAACAGCACCTTGTATGATATAAAATATATTTAATGCAGCTTTGCTCACCTTTCCAAATAAAACCCTCATTGTGACATTGTTTGCACCCTCTGTAATATAAATTAAGTCTGCAGTCCATAAAAAACTGTGATCAGTGCCAACCTGATGATTCAAAAAGTCCTTTCTGAGTGAATTAACCAATCACTTAAAAAAATACTCATATATGATATATACCAGAGTACGGAAGAGTAAGGAGACCATTCTTTTGGGGGATTATAATCCAGGTGACGAAGGGAGCTCAGTCATAACTAAATGTTATCTGGCACAGTCTCATTTTCTTTGACACATCCATCAAGTGGGTTACGAGTTTACAAAAGGAAGAGATAGAGTATTGCCTTAAGTATTCCAAGATTACATTATAGAAGTGGGAATCTGATCCAAAACATAAAATGAGTAATAGTGCTTTCTTTCCATTTCCTAGTGGAGGTTAGCTATTTTATTTATTTTTACTACAAGAATCACCTTTTGCTTTATATTTTATACTATTATAGTTTTATCTTTATTATGTATTCCACTTTTTTTACAACTTTCTTGCTTTCTAAAATAAGTATGAGACTAAAAATTTTCCTCTAAGTACTGCTTTATCTGTATTTCTAGAAAAACATTTCATTTAAAATTTTTCTGTATATTGTGTAATTCTGACTTACTTTTTTGATAAACCAGGCTTTTAAAACGTATGTATTCCAATAGAAGGAGGTCATAGAGAAGGGCAGTATAACATGGAGAAGACAATGACTCTGTAACATCTTACTACACTGATAGTAACTGCAATAGAGGGGGTGAAGACAATATGGGTGAATGTTGAAACCACTGTGTTGTTTATGTGAAACCACCATAAGATTGTAATCAATGATACTTTAATTAAAAAAATAATTAATTAAAAAGTGTTCATTACTGATTTTTAGAGGGATTTCAATTTTTCTTGGATTATTTGTAATTTATAGTGTTACTGAACAATAACATTTCTACTTTGTGGAATTCATCAATGTCTGCCTAAAATAATTTTTTATTTCATCAATGTTCCAAGGTCATTTAAAAAGGAATTTTTTTTTCAGGATAGAGTTTTGAAAGACATTTAATAGATTCAGTATATGAAATAAGGTTTTTATAATTTCTAGACCAAAGGTTGGTACCATTTTTCTATAAAAGGCAAGAGAATAAATGTTTTAGGCTTTGATGGTCACATAACCTCTGTTGCAATTTACTCAATTCTGCTTTGTAGTGTGAATGGATATGGCTGTTTTCCCCTAAATGGTGTTTTTACAAAAGGAACAGCAGGCAGGATTTGACCTATGGACCATAGTTTGCTGAGCACTATTCTAGAGTCTAATGGCTCTGGTATGAGATTAGAGAGGCATATTAAGGTCTTCTATATCTGATATATTCCTATTTCTCCTTGCAATTCTTGATGGTTTTTTGTTTTGTGTATCTTGACAATTTATTTGGTGCACTAATACCCAAAACTTTATTATATAGCCTTTAAAAACTGTCTTTAGCTTAATCAAAATGTCACTCACCTGTTTTTATTCTAAATTGAACGTTAAGTATTAGAGAAATAAATATTGAGTTATATCTATGCTTTTGGCTTAACAATACATGACTGTATTTCAAACTTTCTAAATTATTTTTTAGGCGTATCTCTTTGATACAATCTGACAGCATTTTCTCTTACTAGGTGAATTTAATCCATTTACATTAGTTGATATGACAGATATATTTCTCTTACTGTATGTAGTGTATTTGCACAGAAATTCTTTTTGTCCAAAAAGAGTTTACACAGCAGTCCTGAGAGTGCTACCCTTAGAAAGGCTTGCTTGCAAGATTAGCTCTTGGCTGGCGTCTGGGAACTTAGATGTCAAAACAGTTTCAAAGAATCTAGTCTCTAATGAGCTTTCCAGGTAGACAACATTTCACATGTGTTGTCGCACTCACTGCTATGCATCTCTGGAAGCTTGCACCTGGTTTCCTCCGGACTTTGCCCCTTTTCTCTTTGCTGATTTTGCTTTGTAGTCCTCATTTCATTGTATAAATCTTACGTATGAGCATGACTACATGCAGAGTACTAGAGAATTCATGAACCTGGTGGTGGTCCTGGGGACTCTTGATACAGCTTTATAGGAAATTTTTCCAGTAACAGGTCTGTTTTCTTTGCTCTATCAAACTCACTTTTAACAATTAGGAAGGTTGCACTTTGCTCCAGAGGCTATCCTTTCTAATTACATTTTATCATTCCTTAATCACCTATTTATTTAGATGATATCTAGTAATTCATTATTATACAGTGATAAAATTAGTGGTTCCTTTCTCTCTTCTGATCTGTTCACTCCCACTTTTAGTTGCTTTACTAACCTTTCTTAGTGTTTCATCTTTTTACTGTTAGGTACAAATCCAATTCTTAATTTCTCAGTTTCAAATGGTATACTTAGTGCATGTCTTTTAAAGATGAGAATATCATCATGTGTACAATCCATTCCTTTTGTTAGTTGTCCCCATTCCACATTTTATTAGATCTATTATTTCTACAGTTTCAAATTAAAGGCCTCTGAAAGAAGAGTGCTGAAAAACATTTCAAACTGCTCATTTCTAGCTGATCACTTTGGATTTTACTTTCTTGGATACCTCTGCCAGTATTCAGTAATTCACCTTGAGAACTTCTGCCTGGAAATTCTTTCTTTAATAACCATGGATCTTCTACGTGTTCCAATGTGAAGATCAGTTCTGGTTTTGTAAAGCAGCACCCTGTGAATGGGAAATAATAGCACTTGAGTTAACTGCAGGTCTCACTGTTTCTAAATGAGAGGGAAAGTACAGTTTTAGAAGCACCCCATTGAAGGTGCTTACTGGAACTTTTCTGCGGGGAAGTGATGACAAAAAACATTTTCTTGCACTCATAAAGGATCAGTCTACTTAAGACCCTTGAATCACAAGCCTAAATAACATTAAATCCTAAAATAGTCAATGCCTGTGTTTCAAAGAAGAGGTTTCATGTAGACTTCCAAATCTGGTTATAATGGAATAAAGAAACTGATTTACCCTCCATATCAAATATCTATAAAAGCATACAAACTGTGTAAAATGGTCTTTACAAACTTTAGACAATAGGCAGTGCAGACAGGGATATGTGAGAATATGAAAACAAATGACGTGAACTTTTACTGAGTTTTCAACCCATAGCACAAAAACAGAGCAGCAAAACAAAGTGCGGCTGACTCAGTTGAGGTTTATGTGACAGTATTGGATTTTAAGGAAACCACTGCAACTAGAATTTGTAGGATAAAATAACAGAGATGAAAGAACTGTACTGGTAAAACTGAAGACTTTAACTTGTGCAAGCATGTGAGAAAAACACTCAAGGTTGGGGAATGACCACTGAAAAAAAGAGTATGCTGAAAAATTACCAAAGCAAACACAGAGGTAGGAAGTTCTGTTTCTACCAGCCAGGGTAGAAAAATTGGGTAAAATAACCAGAAGAGTATTTATTGTTTGGCAGAGGAGCCAAATTAACCCTAAACTGAGCTCAGAATACAGCACAACAAAGCTTAAAGCAATCCTTAAAAGGATTAAATTAATTCCAAGTAATTTAACTACATCTTAGAAAAGGCTCCAAGAGATTTAAAATAATTCAGCAAAACTAGCAGTTAACAAAATTTGAAACATCCAAAAATCTACTAGTTATAAATAGAAGCAAGGATATATAACTCTTATCAAGGAAAAAAAAACAATCTGTGGCAACAGAAATAACACATGATAAAACAAATAATAATCAAGGCCATTATAACAGCATATATACACCATATGTTCAAGTCAACGAAAAACATGAACATGATGAGAAAAGGGAATTTATTTAAAAGTTCTAAACTGAAATTCTAAATATGAAAAAATAAATGAAATGAGAAAACCAAACAAACAATAAGAAAACATGCAGTAGGATTAATAATAAGAGTACAGACAAAACTCAAGGGACAATACATGACAAGACAACTGATGACCTTAAGGCATTGTAATGAAAATATGAAAGAAGCTCACAGTGAATGAAGACTGGTAAAATATCAGCAGAGTTATCTGTGATCTATGCAATAATATCAAGTAGTCTAAAACATGAGTAATTACCACTTCAGAAGAATTAAGAAAACATTTGAAGATATAATGGGCAAATGTTCAAACATATAAACCCTCAGATCCAAGAACTCAATGAATTTAAAAAAACATGAAGAAACTGAACGAAGGTACATTATAATCAAGAAGTTGAAAATCTCTGATAAAGGGAAAATCTTAGACAGAGAAAGAAGTAACATGTACATAAAAACAAAGATAAGAATGACTGCCTACTTCTTGTCACAAATTATACAAGCCAGAAGACAGTGAAGTAACAATATTCAAGTACTTGAAGGTCAACCCAAAAGTCTATACTTAGCAAAAATGAGACGTTTCAGACAAATAAAGGCTGAAATAATTTATTACCAACTGATATGTATCATAGGAAAAGTTAAAAGAAATTCTTCATGCAGAAGAAAAATGCTATCAGTTTATCAAATGCTAAAAGGCAGACCTAAATATATGATGTCTACAAGAAATCCACCTTAAATATAAAAACACAGATAAGTTATAAGTAAAAGGAACAAAAAAATAACCATGAAAATATAAGAAAAACTCTGAATGCCTATATTAGTATCAAGGTAAAACTCAAAAGAAAGGAAAAATTATCTGGGATAAAGAGAAATACTGCATAATGATAAAGGGAGTAATTCCTCAAGAGGACAAAATAATCCTAAATGTTGTTCCATACTACTTCAAAATAAATGAAGCAAATAGTGATAAAACTAAAATAACCAAATCCACAATTATGGCTGCACTGTGACAGTACTTTTTCAATAATTGATAGAACAAGTAGATGCAGAATAAGTAAGTACATAGAAGATTTGAACAATATTAACTAACATGACCTACCCTCATCTATAGAACACATCCATATTAAAAAAAAAAAAGACCCAACCGTATGCTGTCTACAATGAACTCACAAATACATTCAAATTGTTTTTCCCTTATAAGGTATTATTTTTCTCCAGCTGCCTTTAAGACTTTATTGCCTATAGTTTTCAGAAGCTTGAATGTCATGGAGTTCTTGGCATGGATTCCTTTCACATGGTTTCATACAGTATGGTGCTCGCCTAGCTTCAATGTGTAGGTATAATGTCTTTTGCCAAATTTGGTAAATGTTCACCCATTATTTCTTTAGAATTTTTTTTCATCATTCCTTCTGGAACTCTAAAGATACAAATGTTAAGAGATTTTCTTGTAGATCCATAGTCCCCCCAAGGACCTGTTCATTTTATTCAGTCTCTTGTCTGTAATGATTGAGCCATTTCTGTTGTTCTATCATAAAGCTCACGGACTTTTTTTCATCTATCTTCTCCATTCTGCTGCTATGTGCATGCATTAAGGATTTTTTAAAGTGAACTTTTAATTTTAATGTAGCTTTAAAGTCACAGAAAAATTGCAAAGATAGAAAGGGAAAATTCCTCTGTACCTGCACCTAATTTGCCCTACTGTTAATATCTTATATTACTAGCAAATTTGTCATGACTATTGACAATTATTAAGTAAAATCCTTACTTTATTCAGATTTTTTTTCTTCTTTGATCTCTTTTCTGTCCCACAATTCCATCCAGGATACCACATTACGTTTAGTTGCAATCTTGCCCTAGGCTTCTCTAGACTGTAGGTGATGTGACTGGTTTTTGAACCTCGACAGTTTAGAGGACAATGTAAAAGGGCCTTCAGTGTAGGCTTGTCCGATGTTTTTCTCATAGTTAAAAATGGGGTTTGTATTTTTGGGAGGAAGACCACAGAGGTAAAGGGACTCCTGTTTTTCTCCCATCTCATCAAGGGTACACACTACCAACATGATGCATCACTGATGATAAACTGGATCACTTCTTTAAGGTAGTGCTCGCCAGGATTCTCCACTTTCTCCCCACTCCACTGTGCGTACTGTACTCTTTAGGAGGGAGCTACTAGGTGCAGCCCTCTACAGGGGTGGGGAACTATGCTCCAACTCCTTGTGGAATAAACATGCATTATTAGGAATTCTGCATTGGATTGGTCTATTCTCTCCATTTATTTAATCAATCACTTATTTATATCAATATGGACATATGGATATTTTATACTTTGGGTTATAAACCAGCACTACCTTACTTTATTGCTCAAATCATTTCAGATTTGGCTGCCGAGAGCTCTCTCGGCCTGGCTCCTCTCTCCTCTGACATACCACTGTTCTGTTTTGAGCATCTCCTCACAATCCCCCACACTCACCTTGTATGTTCCACGTCCCAGCCCTAGAATCAGCCATTTCTCCAAGGAACTTTGTTTTCTTTTATTGGAGACTAGTACTAGAAGCGGCTTGTACATCTACTTAGATTTCCTGTTTCTTTATCATTTAGTTTTGGAAGATTATGTATTTCTAGGAATTTATCCACTTAATCTACGGTGTCCAATTTGTTGGCATACAATTGCTCAAGGTATTCTAATTATTTTTATTTCTGTAGAAGCTATTTTGTCTCTACTTTCATTTCTAATTTTAGTAACTTGAGCCCTCCTTTTTTTCTTACAGAATCTAGCTGAAGTTTGTGAATTTTGCTAATTTTTTCAAAGAACCAACTTCTGCTTTCACTGATTTTCTCTACATATCTTTCTCTCTTCTCGTCTCTATTATCTCCTTCCTTCTGCTAGCTTTAGGTTTAATTTGCTCTTTCTCCTGTTCCTTAAGGTGTAAAATTAGATTACTGATTTGAGATATTTTTTTCTGGTTTAATGTATAAATTTCCATTTTAGTGTTACTTTCATCACATCCCACGAATCTTGGTATGTTATGTTTTCATTTTCACCCTCTTAAGGCATTTTCTAATTTCCCTTATGATTTCTTCTTTGACTCATTGGTTAGAAACAAGGTTTATTTTCCATGTATTTGTGATATTTCATTTTTCCTTCTGTTGTTAATTCTTACTTTGATTAATCATGATCAGAACAGATAATACATATTATTTCAATCTTTTACAATGTATTAAGACTTGTTCTTAGTCATCCTGGAGAATGATCCATTTGCACATGAGAGAAATGTGTATTCCGCTGTAGTTTGGTGTCATCTTCTTTGTGTCTGTAACATTCAACTGGTTTATGGTGTCATTCAAATCCTTTATTTTGGTTGTTCAATATGTTACTGAAGTGGGATACTGAAATATTATAGAACTGTTTATTTCTTCCAATTGTTAATGGTTCCCTCATATAATTTGGGACTCTGTTTTTGAGAATATATGTTTACAATAGTTTTATCTTCTTGGTGAATGATCCTTTCATCAATCAATATATGATGTCATTTTTTTGTCTCCTTAACACTGTCTGACTTAAAGACTATTTTGTCTGATACTAATATAGCCATGCCTACTCATTTGCACAGAATTTTCCCATTTTTCATTTTCAACCTATTTGTGTCTAGATCTAAACTGTGTCTTGTAGACAGCAGTGTTGTGTCATCTTTTCAAAATTCATTCTTAAGTTTAAAAATCATTCAGGTGTTCAGATTTGATGTCTTAGACCAAAATTTTATTTGTTAATGAATATAAATGTATTCTTAGATAACAAGGATTTAGTTTTTTCTAATAGCTAAAGATTAAACCCATTAATATGTTGTCATTTGAGCAACACTAATTCAGAATATGTAATTATTTGTCAGGAGTGGA